AAATACCAAATATCATCTTTTCAGTTTCTCATCATACAAAATACCAATATAAAAAAAATAAATAGTCAGTTCAATAATATAAGGCACTGGAAAACTAAAGACTACAGAAAAAAAAATAAAAAACTACAAGAAACTTTTTGTACAAGCACTACATTTTGAAATTGTTTTACTTTCACCTAATCTTATAGTGTCTTCATCGTCATCTTGAGAAAGCATACCATTGTCATGTCTCCTCTGAAACAGTATTTTTTTATGGAAATTTGTTTAGTTTTGCAAGAGATGAATATAACAACTAACTTTGCATACTTTTACAATTAATGTTTGACAAACCACAAAAAAAATCGAAATAATGTAATTATCATTATTTATAAAATACAATTTACATATAAATATCAGTTTTTATCTGAAACTAAAGGACCCAGCATAAAAAAAGACTTTAGGTCGAATTTGCTTAATTTTATATAAATATGTTGCTGTTTTTGACCTCCTAATCAAAAGTGTCTATGAGCTCAAAGTTCTCCTATTACTGATTTTTGAAATACAAGGTGTTGAATTTGTTAATTCTCGTAATTTTCAAAAATACTTAAGATGCAGATGTTATTTTGCTGATATATAGAAATATTAAAAGTGATTCAACTCTCTAAGATATTTGTGACTAACAAAATACAATATCAACATATTCAGAAAAAACAATACATATAGGATGAGTAATTTTTTAAATTAAAATATGCATATTTAAAAAATAGTTTAACGCCTAAAAAAGCACTTACAAATAGATTATTTATATATGGTTATATAAGTGTGTTCAAACGATATTTTATTATTATAAAAACTACACATATGAGCCAAAAAATTCCTTCAGTGTCACTATATTACAATATACCCACTAAATCGTAATGTATCCCAAACAAGTACAACATCACATCAACAAATAATATATACATGGCATACAGGGAGAGTAAAAAGTTACATAAAGTTGAAATATCCAAAAACTGCCATTTTTTACAAACCTTCCTGTAGAGGGATAATTAATCATTTGGAGTGAGGGTAGCCATATGTGAGTAGTAGGGATTAAGTGTAAAGGTTAAAGAAAAGGTCCTTTATTTCTCACAAGTCAATTTATTGGCGACTGGTTTCGAAGTTGTCACTTCATCATCAGGCACACCTAAATGGAATGTCAAGGAGTCAGTTGTAATAAAAACAATTATAAAAGCATGAACGGACTTTAACATATACAAAATAACAGAAAAAACACAAAAGAAAGTTAAACAATAACCTTGACTCACCTTGACTAATTCCATAAAGGAAGCGCTACAAAAAGTTTAACAGAACGAGTTAAAAAAGTCATGTGTAATAAGTATTTTTAAATTTTTTTTTTTTTTTTAATGTAGGTTAGGTTAAACCACCAGATGTCTTTTTGAATAAAATAATTAATTAAAACACATTTAAGACAATTATTAACTAAACAACACAAAATAGTTTTACAAGCACAAACAGTTTAAAAATTTTTAAGGAAATAATGTTAATTACTGAAAGTAAAAAGTAAAAAAGTAAAAATTATCAGACTGTCCAGACATCTATCTAGATTTTTAACGAATCAATGCAGTAAACTGTAAATTTTAAATTAGCGGATAAATAGTGTACTAACGGAGGTGTTATTTACTGAAAGTGAGTATAGGTGGCGGTGACAAAATTTATTGAAAGTAAAATATATTAAACTGAGAATGAGAAAGCAAAAAAATGTTTTATACTAACAAGAAAATTAGAACACTAAACAAGAAAATATGAAAATTCATATGTAAAAGGGAAATTTGAAGCAGATAATCAAAAAGAAAATTACTGTTACAGTAATTTTACTTATTACACATGACTTTTTTAACTCGTTCTGTTAAACTTTTTGTAGCGCTTCCTTTATGGAATTAGTCAAGGTGAGTCAAGGTTATTGTTTAACTTTCTTTTGTGTTTTTTCTGTTATTTTGTATATGTTAAAGTCCGTTCATGCTTTTATAATTGTTTTTATTACAACTGACTCCTTGACATTCCATTTAGGTGTGCCTGATGATGAAGTGACAACTTCGAAACTGGTCGCCAATAAATTGACTTGTGAGAAATAAAGGACCTTTTCTTTAACCTTTACACTTGATAATTAATCAATCAGAAATCAGAACAAGTAGGTATGATTTAGATATATTAAAACAACAGTATCAACAAGTGTATTTCATAACTTAATCCATGTTCCTATGACTATTTTTTTTCTGTATGAGATCAATTTTATTACTGCCTTCTGTTCAAACTTGTAAAAATAAACTTATTGACACTGTTGGTAAATTTAGAAGCTGGTATAACTAAACTCAGAAATTATTATTTAAAGATAGAATGAACAACCTAGTTTATAGTTACAGAAGCTATTTATTTATTACATGAAGATGAAACTATATGTATTCTTCATTAGAATGTGAAATCAGTAGGAAATTGGATTGATGACTTGCAAAATGAAACTACAACAAAGCAACTGCAAAGGTGCGTATATTAGTGAACATCGAAAAAAACACAAATTCAACTTCAAAATTATAATATTCAAGATTTCCTTTTAGCATCAACATTTTGCAGAGGCAATGGAGAACATAAGTTAGGGATATTTTAGGGATAGATTACGGTCGAAAATGTGAGCAAATGTAGAATATCTTGAAGTTTACAAACAAAACGTGTATATAATCAATGATTACTAAGAAATAGAATTTAACTGAGCGACAATAAGCCAAAATGTATATGGCAAATTGTTAATGAAACTATAAAGGAACAAACAGTGCCAATAATGATCTAAAAATACCAGTCTAACATAATAAGTAATAACTTCAATAATTTTACATAAATAATTTAGCTTCATACATAGTAAATAATATAAATGCCAGTCTTGTTAACTATGCAGATGATACAAATATACCGGTAGTAAGAAAATTCCTACATGATATTTTATTTATAGCTAATAAAAATGTAAAAAGGACATAAAAGTGGTTTTTAATGAATAAGCTAGTAATAAGAAAAAATAAATTAAATTTGCTTTATAACTAGGTCAAATAATAGTACCATTCCAGAAACTATTCAACTTGAAACTCAGAATGTATTATTAGCTCAAAATATAAAATTTCTTGTAATAACTACATATAGATCAAAATTTTGATTTTGAAAAAAATGTCAGTGAATTGTGTAATAATTCAAATGTGTCTGTAATTCATTTAGAGTAACATCAAAATATTTGGAACTTAGCACCAAGCGAACTATATATTTTGCAAATTTTCACTTGCTTGAGAATAGGGATTATTTTTTTAAGAGCAAGTAGTACACCTGAACATATATTTATTCTACCAAAGAGGGCAATTAAAATATTATTGAGTCATGCAGGGGTAAATTTAACAGTTGAAATTAATGACAATGGTGGAACTTGTATAAATATATGAATGCTTAATGTTTCTGTTTAAAAATCACAATAACATTGAAAAACATAGAATATACTTACCATAATTCAAATACAAGACATCATATTATAAACTACAATATATGGACTCATTACTTTCATCAACTGAAAGGCTGCCTGAATATGAGTGCATCCAGTTCTTCAATAAGTTGTCAAATAATATAAAACGTGTAAACGACTTAAAACAGGTGAAAACTCACATTTCTGATTTGATCTTAAACTTAGAACTTTATTTAGTATAAGATTTCCTGGAACTAAATGGTATTTGAACCATTTATAGTGCTGTATCTCAATAACTAATCATAGAACTTTGTGCCCATGGAAACTTTTAATTAGGTCAAAAACTGAATATATAATAAATTCAGCAGATTCGACCAAAAATCATTTGCCCTAAGGAAACAGCAGTGTCCTTTTATATTTTTTTTATATATAGGATGTTAGTATTCAGATACATTGTGAACGAAATATTTAGTTTAATAATTTGAGAAGTATCTAAAATTATACAAACCTTCAATTCTGTAGCAAGATACATAAAAGCTTCCTCAATATTTGAGTTTGATTTAGCACTGGCCTCTAATACAAAAAGTACATCAGGCATGTATTGGCATAATGCCTCTGCTTCTTCAAATTCTACCTCTCTTAAGGTTTCCAAATCTGCCTTATTTCCGACAATAGCCAAAAGTACAGAGTTGCCTGAGTACCTTTTTACTTCTTCGACCCACTTGGCTACTGACAAAAATGAAGACCTTTTTGTTATATCATAAACTATAATAACACCATTTGCTGATCTATAGTAACTTTGTGTGATGGTTCTGAAGCGTTCCTGACCTGCAGTATCCCAAATTTGTAGCTAAAATATTACAAATTATATGTAAGTATTGTAGGAATACTTATCTGAAAAATAAAATGAAAACCGAAACTAGAATATGTTATACCTTAACTTTTTTATTATCTACAACAACTGTTTTCATAGAAAAATCCACGCCTATAGTATTCCCATGCCTTTCTATAAATGTACCATTTTTAAAACGTTGAACAACACAAGTTTTTCCTGTCCCACACTCACCAACAATCACAATTTTAAATAGAAAATCAAATACTTCCTCATTTGGAACTGACATTAAGGTTGTCGGATTTCTTGTAGTCATTTTGGAATTGTTTTAAGGTGCAATCATTTCATAAAATGCGATAAAAATCTAAAAATAACATTTTATATTTTTACATTCACATTTTTCTCTAATTATCTCATTTTGACATTTCAAATGACACGAATGATTCGGATTGCGCATTGTTATTTGTCAATTGTCAATTTTGACATTTTGTCTTAGTCGCCAACAAGGTAATATAAAATGTCCCTGTTATTTCCGACAAAATTCAAATTAAGGTAAAAAAACAAAAAAGATGACAAGGAATCAATACATAGTCTATTTTAATTTTAATCTACCTATAAAATTTGAAATTGTATTAATAAATTATGGATTCATTTATACCGTAGCTATACCTTTAACAAAGTGAAAACATTTTGCTTAGTTATACAGGATCACCAACATATATTTAGTGTAATACTTTGATATGGCATCCTGGTGTAATACCATTCCAATCTTATCTCTGTCTTTCATACAATATTTGCTATTTTTGTCTTGTTTTAAAAGTATTAACACAGCTTGCAAGCAGCTCGAAGCAGCTAAATAAAAATCACTTAACAAAGGCCTAAATCAAACTTTATTTTCTAGAAAATATGGATAAAAATATTGTTTTATTAAAAAATGAGCTCTGATAGTTCAGATAATGAAGATCTAGAATTGCTAAGAGAAGCACAAGATACACAGTTTTTGAAGGAAAACTTATATTCCCAAGATAAAGGTTAATGATTTAAAATCTGCATTTTATTCTTTTTCATAGTTTTACTTTTAGATAGGACAAGTGAAGAAGTGCAAGAAAAACCCATTAGTTTGAGGATAACTAAAGATGAAAATGAGCAGTTTAATTTTTTAAAAGTAACACCTGAATTCAGAAATTTCGTAGCAAAGCATTTGACTAAACTTCTAGATAATAAGTTGGAAAGAGAGTTAGAATATGATGCTTATAATAGAGAAATTAAGAGAAAACGGAAAAATAGTGGTGTCAGACTATTTTCCCATTCAAAGAAGCTGTTAAAAGTTGGGGAAAATTTAACTCGAAACATAAATTTGTGTACAAACAAGACTAGAATAAATACTGTGCTTAAGCAAGACATTGTGGCTACAGATGAAGATTTAAGGATTTTAGCAGTATCTGGTGAATATATTTTATCAAAAAAGGATACAGAGCCCTGGTCCAATAGGTCAAAATCTGAGACATTCACTTACAAAAAAAATAAAAATGGAAAATTAGAAATAATTGAGCCCAAATTCAAGGAATCTTAAAAAATGTCTCACATGCCTCCATTTCGCTTGAATGTGCCTAATTTGCCTGCTGACTTGCCTCCTGCCCCCTCAAATCCTAAAAAAAGAAGAAAAAATGCCCCAATTCAACCCCCACCCAGTGTGCAGGACTTGCTGCCACCCCCTTTATCAGGATATGGAGATACTATTGTAGCTTCAAACCCTTTTGATGATTGTCCCAGTAATGTAAATACAGGAAGTTCTATGGGTAGACCTCATGGAGGACCCCCTATGGGTATGGGGGGTAAGTTATTTAATTTATTTGAAAATTACTTTTGACTATTTCGATAGAAAAGCTTCTTAATTTATTTCTTATTTAATATTATTCAGGTCCAGGTCCAAATATGGTAATGGGTAACAATATGGGTATGTACAGACCTATGTGTCCCAACCCATCCATGGGTATGAACTCTCCAATGATGCACAGCCCTAATGCCCATCAAATGAATAACTCTATGATGATGAATGGTCCTAGAATGGCTCATATGGGTCCTGGGCCAGGTCATGGTCCTCCACACATGATGCCCAGTCCGAATGGTCCTGGAGGAGGAGGACCAATGGGTCCTAACATGAGTATGACAGGTAAAATAAATATTAATTAAATATGTATAAAAATCAGTGTAAATTGACTGGGAAGAGGTATTTATCACTTCAGAAACAATCTAGAACCTATCATAGAGGATAAAATTAATGTATACTGGGTAAACTAAAAGTCTAGGAATGACTGAATATCTCAAGAAATATGCATCAAATTGAAACAAATATTAGAACAAAAAGTTTAATGTTCTAAAAATTATATAAATTAGAAAATCCCCATTTTTTTTTAAATTTTGGGATCTTGTCTGAGTTTGGTTGAAAATTATCATAACTTTTGAATACAAATAATTATACTACATAGCAGAGTTATGCTAACCAGTGTCAAAAAAAATTGAGTATTTTTTTTTTTTAATAAGCTTTCTCCAGACATTCTAATATGTCACCAATAATACTTTATTGACTTTCTGGAAACAAAAAAAAAAGTTAACTAGTTTTTGCATTAAGCCGACGATATTATTTTACAGGCATTTAATTTAAGATCTCTATATCGCTTTTTGTATAAATGATTAAATAGATTAACTAGCTGCGATTTATATTAGAGAAAATACACATAAAAGTTCCAAACTTTTACTTGAGAAATCACTATTATTTATGTTTTTATTTCCTATCATCACAATTACTGTGGTGTAAGTAATCCAACAGAAAATTTTGCAAAATCCATAATTAGTGAATGGCCCTACAGGTCTCCTAAGGCTCTAACATGTGTACCAATATCAAAAAAATATGCTGAATGTTGCAAAGACTGCATGATTCATTTAATAAGGTCTATTAGAGCCACCTTAGTGACTTTTATTTACCATTAACCTATTTCCCTTGTATATATACAGAAATACATTGTTTTTTAGAGGCAGGTCGGAGACATGTCCGAGAAGGTACAGAGTTCCTAGAAATACACCGGTCAGGAACTACCCAACTCTACTACCGAGGTAAACCTCCAAATGGCACTTCTAATCAAAATCAGAATATGTATGATCACATACAGACAGGTAATTACAGTTAATATTTAAAAATAAGTATAAATCATAAAATAAATACAGTCAAATATGTAAAATTTCCCTTTGGAAATGCATCAAAATAAAAATTTGAACAAATTGCAGTTAAAATATTCAATATATGTTAAGTCTATCTACAAAAAATATGAATCCATAGTATTTGTTGTGTTGCTTAATTTCACAAATAATAAATAAAATGAAATTACTTTTTTTAAATTTTTGAAGTTAGCCTCTCTGTCCCTAGAAATAGACATGAGAGAGTTTATATTTGACATAATTGATTAGTTCCAGTGAAAGAATTAAAACTTTTGTTCTGATCAATTTATTTTATGACATTTAGCCTTTCTGAATGGTTCTCCAGGTATATTATCCTTATTGTTCCCAGTTAGCTTAAAATCGTGCAACAACTATTTTCTATTACCAACTGTTTTTAAGGTCCTCCGATGCATAGTCCATTAGGAAACATGGGTCCTATGCCAGGACAAGGACCAGGTAATGCTAGCCCCATGAGCCATTCAGGTCCAATGAATGGTGGTGGAATGAACAATCCTATGAATGGACCTCCCATGGGTGGTCCACAAATGGCACATGGCCCTCACGGACCACATGGTGGCCCTGGACCTGGTCCTGGAATGAATATGTCCTCTGGAAATGGACCTCCGGTTGGTAAGTGAATATAACATTGTTTAGTACACATTAAAATATTCTCGACAAAATAAAGAAATAACATTTTTGTTTTAGGACCCCCCATGAATAACAACTTTATAATGTCTCCTATGAATAACATGTACTCAAAACCCATGCCAGTATCAGCAGGAAAAGTTTACCCAGTAGATCAACCAATGGTTTTTAACTCTCAAAATCCCAATGCACCACCCATATACCCTTGTGGGGTATGCCATAAAGAAGTTCATGATAACGACCAAGCCATTTTATGTGAAAGCGGGTGCAACTTTTGGTTTCACAGGTAAACAAACGATCTAATTTTTTCCAATTAAATGTTCATTAGTAGATTACAGATTAGATTTGGTTATTACTATGGACCATGCACCCCCCCCGCCCTTTTCAGATTTATTGTGGATATTCTTTGTCATTAGTTAAAGTACTTTGGTCTTAAACTAGAAAGTATAGCTCTCCGGTGTAGCTAATTGCTAATACGTGTGTTTAGTGCACGTCACAGGTTGAGGAAGGTCATAGCACTGGATGCACACATGAGATCCAATCGTCAATTGTCATTAGTGTCCATAAGAATAACACAGCGGTCATTGAAATTATTGAAGCTTAATTTTGAAAATGAAAGCAATTTAATTATTTAACATATTAGACCATATGGATGGTAAGGTAATAAAGTTTATATATTTCTCTATGGATTTCATAATTTTTTTTAGGAAAATATTTATTCGATTTGAAGAATTTTAACACAGCCTACTCAAACCCTGGTTTTTGAAGTGAATATAATTTAATTAATTTACACATTCAAAGCATATTGTGATATTTATTTATTTATTTTAAAACAACAGTTTATTTATTAATAATTTATTTAAACACTTATTTATTTTATAACACTATTATTCTAATTTATATATATTTCGAATGTCTTTAAACTGATCACTATTTATCTTCACTGTCCATATAATAACTAACTCCCGCTTGGTTCTCCACCAATATTTATATACAAATTTAAAAGTTTGGCGAATGAGCTAGAATACTCTAGAAATATTATCCCGCCTTTTCTCGAACATTAATCGAAAACTCTTCCGCCATAGTCGTCACATAGGTTTGGTCTTAAGGGTTTAATTATGTATGATAATCGGACAAGTTGAGCCTCAAAGGCCAAATAAGACAGAGAGGGACTTGACTGGAGCATGACTGAATAATGAAACGGCTCACATAACAATATAAACGGTAAGTTGATAACATTCACATGTAATTCTATCAATTTCATAATATTTTTTACAGGAAAAGAATTATTTTTCCGTGATTTGAGAAATATTAACCCAACTTGTTTAAAGGGTAATTTTTGAAATGGATTTTAAAGTAGTAGCACATGTCACAGATGCAACATGGCTACCTTATTGTATTATACTCATTACAATATTTAGGCAATTGAGAAGGCATTGAAGAAACTAAAAATGCTTTTGATCCAAGGCAGACTGTACATCATGAGTTGCTATTTATGTTTTTTGTTTGGCCATAATCCGTAGAAACTGAATGGAATCCTAATTTATGGACAAATTCATGTCGGCTGTTTTCTTTACTGTTTTTTTATTACTAAAAAACCACTGTCAAAATAGTTACAATTTAGATACTGAATTGTTATTTATTACTACATAAATATTTGATGATATAATAAAACTACTTTAAATTTTTTTAATTTATTTATATTGCAGAACAGAGTAAACTTTCGAATATTTAATATATAATTTTCACAAATATGTGTTTAAGAAAAATGCAGAGGCATAGTTCTTATCATGGTCTGACCTCTCCACTTTCAGCTTTGATCGTAACAGAATCTAAATAAAATATTTTTCTTCAAGAGGATCAAAATGAGCTATCGATTCCATAGGCACAATAAAATTCACATTCTACTTCCTAGTAACATACAATAACTTTTAAGAACCTATATCGAGGGCCACAATGCAGGCTATCATTTCCACTGAAAATTATATTTTATGATAATCTTGTTTAAAACATTTCGTTCCATCTACTGTATAGAGGAAGTATTACAATTTTTGAACCAAACGGGTATATATTAGTCCTATTATAGAGTAAAATGGATTGTTCTATATGTAAAACATTTTTGTCGATTTTGCGGCTGAGGAAGTCCTGCCTTGTGGCCCTCGATATATGTCTCACCTGCTTCTTTTCTGGACCGACCCAGCCATTGATTTATCTTGTAAATATTAAATTATTTTCACTCTCACAATCAGGAATAAGGTTAAGTTTCTCAAATCGCTGAAATAGAATTTTTCGTGAAAAAAAAAATTATGAAATCGATAGAATTACATGTAAAGGTCATCAACTAACCGTTTATATTCTTTGAATGTGTCAATTAATTAAATTATATCCACTTCAAAAACCAGGGTTTGAGTAGGCTGTGTTAAAATACTTCAAATCGAAGACAAATAAAATTTTCCTGAAAAAAATTATGAAATCCATAGAGAAACATGAACTTTATTACCTTACCATCCATATGTTCTAATATGTTAAATAATTAAATTGCTTTCATTTTCAAAATGATGCTTCAATAATTTCAATGACCACTGTGTTATTCTTATGGACATTAATGACATTTGATGTTCTGGATCCCGTGTTGGCATCCAGTGCTATGACCTTCCCCAACCTGTGGTGACGTTTTGCCTAAACACGCGTATTGGTTTTTCTTCTCAGAATCTTAGTCTTGATAAACCTTTATAGTAACACTATACGTGTACCGCAGTTTCCCCCTCTTCCTGGCAGAATCGAGACAATTTAAATCGATATTTGAGAGTATAAGATCTATGTCTTCTCTAAACACTATAAATGTCGTGGGCGTGATGTCATACTTGAAGCCCTTATGTGCCGACGGCACATACATAATCAGTACAGAGTATACTCGGTCACTCGGTATCATATGTAGCAATTAATCGATAACATCAGATGTGTCGTTTATAATTTTTAAGTTACAAATATGTTATTTGTGATATTCATTAAAATAATAGTTAATAAAGTCTTTAATCAAATATCAAATCAAATTGATAGCCGAAAATATCAAATGTAGAGATATTGATTTCAAAAAGTGTCTTCAATCAACAGGTTCGGATAGTCTAATCGATTTGAATTGATAATTCTTGTAATCAAGATTTCAATTAGGTCATGTCATATGTCCCAAATTGTTGTATTTAATTTTGTAATTCGTCCCTTCACAACAACAACAACAGTATCTTCCCTCTTTAGCTGGACATAGCTAATAGCTTCGTCACCATAAGGTATAGAGCAGTTCTTTAATATAATATGTTTAAATATATATCTGTAATTGAAACAGTTGCTTCAAAATAACATTTCAGTACTCTGCACTTATATAATCCATATTTTCAATGTAATATTCGTTGATTATAAAATAATCCACTCTGGGAAGATTATTTGAATCGACTTTCACAAAACCTTGTTCCATTTTTTGCAAAAATACAAAATCAAAGCATCAAATCTACAACAAAATATATATCAGAAGCGACACTAGAAACACGTGTTAACAAATGATTGGTCTCACATACATTTTTTTAGCGAGCTAATGGTAGCAAGCTGTATCAACATAAATTAAATCATCCAACAAAGATCAGTATACGTATTTCTTAAAAATATGATTCACAAGAAACTAAGTGTACTTGGGATGAGTTTTGTATTGTAACTGAATCAATATGATTAAATGTCGGTATATTAAAAGTCCCAAAAATTCGACTTATTAAAATCGTCCATTGCTCCTCTAACTAATATTTTTTGTTTTAGAGGCTGTACCGGCTTAACAGAAGCGGCTTTTCAGTTGTTAACAGCTGAAGTGTATGCAGAGTGGGTATGTGACAAGTGTCTACATTCAAAAAACATCCCGTTAGTCAAATTCAAACCTTAGTATTATCTATTTTTGAAGGCTCTGTGTGGAATGGACCGAATGCTCATCTAAGTTATTTTATAGACATTGTGCTTTTATTTCTCAAAAGTACTGCAGACAATTTATCTATATTACCCCTGTATATTTACGCTTAAAATTGCATATTTGTATGCTAAATTTTAAAATTACAAATTGTAGATATTGCAATATGGCCTCATAGTAAAGAAGAAAAAAAAAATAATTGAAACCAGTAAAAATTATAAATTTGTAATTTTAAGATTAGAATTTTTCGAAAAAAAAAAAACTTATTTACGGAAGTAGAAAAGAGGAATGTAATATTTAAAGAATCATTAAAAACTATAAAGTGTTAAAATTTAAAATTATTTTTTGTTTAATTTCAATAAAATTTTAATTTGTGAGTAGATAAAATTAGTAGAGGTAGATGATCAGATTGTCTATTATTTCGAAAACAAAAGTCATTTAATTTCCTTTTTGAAAATTATTTTATGTCAAACTTTTTAAACCATCTAAAGGTGTGTACAGACGTCATGAAAAAGCACAAACGAACAAGAATATATATTCGAATAGAACTTCAAGAAGAAGAATGGTGCCATTTTATTCCATCCATTGTAATAGTTTTTGAATTTTTGTTTGGTATCATTCTTCTTAAGGTGCAATATGAACCAGTGCTTTATTACTTATTTGTATTTGTCCGTAATGTCTGTAGGCATATAAGAAAGTTACATAATAGCTAAAGATATCTACTTTAGTACTAATACAAGATCTTATAACATTAAATTGTACTTGTAACTATTTATGTTATGATTAAGTACTTTATAACCGTTTTTAAATAATTATATATCTTTAAGAGAGGCTATGTATTATAAAAATCAAATAAATCTCATTATCTAGATTTGTTTCTATTTTTATCACCCTCTTTTCAACTGACTTCAAAAAAGGAGGAGGTTCTCAATTCCTCGCAATATTTTTTTTATGTATGTTCAGCGATAATGAGCCGTGTTCACATGCGAGATATGCTGTTTTATAAATTATATTGTAACAGTTAATCGCTATACAAGTTATTCTATTTAATCAGTTTGTTAAAAAAGCCAGAAGTTTTTAATTTAAAACAAATTTGAAATGTGTACGTCATCGGGAATAGACCAATCAGCTTGTGTCGAAGTTTTTTTTTTGTTATACAAAACCAAGCCAATGAACAAACCGACACACAGAATGTCGAAGTGAACGCACATCTAAGTGACACTTAAAATTGACAGTATTGACAACACAACCTAACATTCGTTTTTTGTTTTGTATCACATACTTTGATTTTTTTTTACTATACGGAGAATGGTTGAACTGCGCAGCTTTCTGAGTGCCTTTTAAAAGGAGATAGAAAACTCCGCCATTTTGATCCCTTATTACGTGTTGCCTACATCTTGGAGCAATATTTTTAATAGTTGCGTTTTAATCTTCTGCTTCGGAATTGTCGGATTTCTTGTTTTAATCTGACAGGTTAAAACGACAATTCCGGAAGCAGAAGCGGATGATTAAAACGCACCTGATATTTTGCTTGCTGCTGTGTGTGTCAGTGAATATTATTTTTGGAGTCACAGTTTATTTCTAAAGAATCAGCTCACTCGGACCAGTTGAAAGTTCCAAAATAACATCCACTCCAGGGATACAAATTCAGGATACGCAGCAGACTGCTGTTTTATTATAGGTGGTTGTCATATATTGTATTATACGAGTTGCGCAGTGTATAAACTGGAACATTGAGATTAAAAGTGCCGACGCAGAGTGAGCGATCTGATTCTTTAGCTATAAACTGTGTCATAGGAATCAAAATGGCCGCGCCCTATGTTGGGCGTGTCGGACCTCTCTCTTGCACCGTATAGTAATCAAAGTATGTGTTTTGTTTACTTTTTTCGCCGTGGCTAGCCCATGGGGCTTTATTTATTTATTTATTTAAAAAATAAATGATTTATAATTTTTAATGTTTTATTAATTTTTAATATTTTTTATTAATTTTTGTAATTTTTAATAATTTTTATTATTTTTTATTAATTTTATTAATTTTTATAATTATTTATTAATTTAATTTTTATTAAGTTTAATTAATTTTTATTATTTTTTATTAATTTTTATTACCTTTTATTAATTTCTATTAATTTTTAATAATTTTTATTAATTTTTATTACCTTTTATTAATTTTTATTAATTTTTAATAATTTTTATTAATTTTTATTAATTTTTATTAATTTTTATTAATTTTTATTAATTTTTATTAATTTTTATTAATTTTTAATAATTTTTATTAATTCTTATTAATTTTTATTAAATTTTATTAATTTTTAATAATTTTCATTAATTTTATTTGTTTTTATTTATTTTTATTAATTTTTATTTATTTTTCTTTGTTTTTATTTATATTTCTTTGTTTTTATTTATTTTTCTTTTTTTTTTTTATTTTTACAATACTCCCCTTTTTCCTTCCTCTTTTAGTAAAAATCCAAAAACCTTAAAATACGTCATTATTTACTACAATTCCAATTTTCAAATTTCTACAATTAAAAAACCAAAAGTCTTATTCAAACTTTCACCTTCCGTTTCCTTGCTTAATATGTAAAATCCAAATACTATGAAATATGTTTATTTATTTGTGAAGAGTACCTACAATTCCAAGTTTTTAAAGTTTCAAGTTCCTACTATACAAACTTTCACACCCCACACATTTCCCCACTTTCCTCCATTTTTCTTCTTTACCTAATTTCCCCTCTTACTTTTATTTTCCCTCTTAAAATATGAAAATCCAAAATCTGAAACACACTATAATTTTTTTTATTTATTTTTCTTTTTTATTTTTTGCGTTTTTTTTTTATATTTTTACCATATTCCCCATTTTCTTTCTTCCTTAAAATGTGAAAATTCAAAAACCTTGAAATATCTCATTATTTACTTATGATGAGTTGCTGTAATTCCAATTTTCGAATTTCTACAATTAAAAAACTGAAAGTTCTATTCACACTTTCACCTTTTGTTTCCTCCGTTAATATGTAAAACCCAAATACTTTGAAACATGTTTATTTATATATGAAGAGTACCTGCAATACCATTTTTCAAGTTCCTACCATATAAACTTTCACTCCACATTCCCTCATTTTCCCCATTTCCCCAATTTCCTTCTTTTATTAATTTCCCCTCTTACCCCCATTTTTAATATTTCCCCTCTTAAAATATGAAAATCCAAAAACCTGATACACACCATGATTTATTTGTGATGAGTAGTTATAATTCCAATTTTCAAGTTCCTACCTATAAAAAAACTATGCTTCCATGCAAACTTTTAACCCCCGTTTCCACCCCTTAAAATGTTAAAAACCAAAAGCCCTGAAACACGTCATTATTTATTTATGCTCAGTAGGTATTTCAAATTTTCATGCTTAATTACCACTATGCAAGAAATTATGTCCGATCACTTGCTCTGTGAAAAACAAAAACAAATATATCCCACGGGAACCGTACATTTTTTCGGGATAAAAAGTAGCCTATGTGCTATTCCAGACTATAATCTATATTTGTGCCAAATTTCATACAGATCCGTTTGGCCGTTCTTGCATGATTGAGCAACAAACATCCATACATCCATCCAAACTTTCGCATTTATATATTTATACTAGCTTTTGCTCGCGGCTTTGCACGCGTGGTGTCGTGTTTAAAATTTAAAAAAATAAATTATTTTTTATTAATTTTTAAATAATTTTTATTAATTTTTATTAATTTTTATTAATTTTTATTAATTTTTAATAATTTTTATTAATGTTTAAAAAAATTTATAATTTTTATTAATTTCTAAAAAATTTTAATAATTTTATTTATTTTAAATAATTTTTTATTCATTTTTATTTATTTTTATATATTTTTTATTAGTTTTAGTTATTTATTTTTATTTCTCTTTATTTCTTTTTATTTATTTTTAGTTACTTTTTTTATTATTATTATTATTATTACGATACTCCCCATTTTCCTTCCTTCTTTAAATGTGAAAATCCAAAAACCTTAAAATACATCATTATCATTGTAATGTGAGCCATTTCATTATTCAGTCATGCTCTAATACTCCAAGTCCCTCTCTGTATTATTTGGCATTTGAGGCTCAACTTGTCCGCTTATTATACATAATTGAACCCCTTAAGACCAAACCTATGGGACGACTATGGTGGACGTGTTTTCGATGATGTTCGAGAAAGGACGAGATAATGTTTCTAGTGTATTGGAGAGAATATGTGAACTTACTAGAACGTTCTGGAGCTTCCACCATTTTTTTTAAATTTGTATATAAATTGGCGGAAGACTCGGTGCAATCAAGTAGTTATATGGACAGTGCAGATAAATAGTAATTAGTAGATAGACAGTGGTGAATATAAATAGTGATCAGTTTAAAGACATTCGAAGTATATATAAATTAAAATAGTATTGTTTGAAATAAATAAGTGTTTAAATAAATTATTAATAAATAAACTGTTGTTTGAAAATAAACAAACATCACATTGGTGTCGAGAAGTGGAATAGTGTAAATAAATAGTGGACAATAATGGCTAAAAGACTGTGTGATTTAAAAGTGACGGAGCTACGTCGGGAGTTAGAAGATCGTGAGTTGGAGACGACAGGGAAGAAAGCAGAACTGGCAGAGAGGCTTAAAGAAGCACTAGAAAATGAAGGTTTTGATTCGGAAACGTATTTATTTTCTGATGAATCATCTTCTGCTATAATTTCTTCAATTTCTTCCGATATGGAAAGTAAAATGTCTTCCATGAAAACCGATATTTCTTCTAATATTTCTTCTTTGGAAAATAAAGTTTCTTCAGACATTTCTTCTTTGGAAAATAAAGTTTCTTCAGACATTTCTTCCTTAGAAGAAAAGGTGTCTTCTGATGTTTCTTCCGTGAAAAACGAAATCTCTTCTTTAGAAACTAAAGTTTCTTCTGATATCTCCTCTTTAAAAGATGAAATTTCTTCCGACTTGGAAAACAAAATGTCTTGTATGGAAAATAAATTTTTGTCTAACATTTCTTCCTTAGAAGAAAAAGTGTCTTCTGAAATTTCTTCCATGGAAAATAAGATATCATCAGTCGAGGAGAAAATAATGTCTTCCGTTGAGGAAAAAATAAAAGAAATGGAAAAGAAGATTGAAGAAATGGAACACGTAGACCAAACCAAGAACGGTGAAATAATGTGCCATGAGGTGGAGCCGAAGTTGAAATTGGAAGGAGCTGTAAACTCTCCTCGTGTTAAAGCCCCAACTTTTGACGGGAAGATGTCATGGACGAACTACCTTAAGCAGTTCGAAACAGCTGCCAGAGCAAACGAGTGGTCTGAACGAGAGAAGGCAATAAATTTGACCATCGCCCTTCGAGGAGACGTTTTGGATGTCCTTCAGACTATACCCGTGGAAGAGACAGATGATTTTGAACAACTTAAAAAAAGACTAAATATGCGATATGGCCACGAACACTTGGAGCATTTGTACCAGTCACAGTTGAAGAATCGTAAACAAAAACGAGACGAGACTCTTCAGGAATATGAAGTAGATATTGCCAGGTTGGTGCGATTTGCCTATCCATCAGCTCCGGAAAACATGATGGAATGTTTGGCAGTCCAAACATTTGTTGATGGACTCCGTGACCATGAGATGCAGAAAACACTCCGTTTAGCTCGCCACAAAACATTGGTCGATGTCTTGTCCGCTGCCCTTGAATATGAGTCAGCTACACAGGCCTCTGGTGGATACAATAAAGTGAGGACCTTAAAAGAGGAAGAAGAGGAAGGTAAACTCGATCAACTGGTGAATATGATGAAAAGCCTTACTGATAGAAAGAATAAGACGAAGACTATCAGGTGCTGGAATTGTGGTGAACTAGGACATGTACGCAGTTCATGCAAACGTCCAAGGGTCACCACGAATCAAGAAAACACGCCGCAGGAAAAGTAGAACGGGTCGGCCTAGAGGGGGCAGCTTCGACCCGAAACCGTT